TCTACGTAGCTGCATGACCAGTGGACTGACTCATCTCATGTCACAAGTGTGGGGCATGTGACAGCTTCTTACACAACATCAGTGACATTGATAAAAGTGTGTAGACTGTTGTGATGGTTCTCTGTGGCTCTTCACTTTTTAAGTTTTTCAATACAATTATTTCTTCATTAATTTAAAAATATGTTTGAGCATGTACAATACTAGGTATTAAATTTAATCCTTGGAGATGTACAGCAACAGTAGCTGATCACGGAGAACATTCTGGGAAGGACAGTATACACTTTCATGCATTCATCTACATACTCAGAACAATACACATGCAATGAGAACAACCAGCAATTCATTTTAGCTGGAATTTTATTATATATATATATATAGACAAAAATTTTAAATAGTAAAATAATCTTTCTCAGTTTCTTTTAAATTTATAGGATCAATTTTTAAATCAGTAACTATTAGTCACACTTATAATTCAAAATTCAATTCTGATGTGCCAATTTAATTTAGGACTTACATGCTAAATTAAAAATCCTTGCAGCATTTCTCTCTCCTCCTTGGCAGTGCATTTTTTAAAATAATTTTTTATTGTTTTTTTGATACAATTTAGATGGTGGTGGGCTCTCCCTTCTCCATCCCCAACTTCCCACCCCCCTCTGTTCTCTCTAAAGTCATGTGTGTCCATCATGAATTTTCCCAAGTCCATCATGGTTCCACTGGAGTATCTCCCAGCCATGTAGAATAATAACTTTTCGTTGTAGGTTAATTCTTGAATCCTGGGGCCCTAATATAGGTACAGTGAGGATTAGGCCTTCATTGTTTATGGACCATGCCAATAACAGTTATATGTGGACACTGATAATCACAGGTGGTTATAAACAATCCACCTCAATTTTTTTTAAGATTTATTTATTTTTCTTGGAAAGTCAAGTTTACAGAGAGGAGAGACAGATCTTCCATTTGCGGGTTCATTCCACAAGTGGCCGCAATGGCTGAAGTTGAGCAGATGCAGAGCAAGGAACCAGTAACTTCTTCCAGGTCTCCCACACAGGCGCAGGGTTCCAAGACCCTGGGCCAACCTCCACTGCTTTCCCAGGCCACAAGCAGGGAGCTGGATGGGAAGTGGAGCTGCCAGGATTAGAACCGGCACCTATGTGGGATCCCAGCACATGCAAGGTGAAGACTTTAGCTGCTAGGCTATTGCACTGGCCCTCTGCCTTCATCTACTTATTCTCCCACCCAGCATTCTCTAAGAGCCCACTGTGTTCCAGGTCCTGGGGAGACTGTTGGGTCAAAGGATAGGACTTCTGCCGCTTTCCCCATCTGCCACTGTAACAGGCTGTCACCACTGAAGTTATACCCAGTTACAGCACTGTCCCAGGTTAGTATGTCTGCCTTCCTTGACTCAGTTGCTCACTGTGTGGCACAGTCGTCTCCTAAACACACAGATGCCCTTTTTTCTGTCAGCAGTCTCCCAGCCAAGCCTCTGGCACCTGTCTGGTCTACCTTCCCAGAGTAGCCTGTGCCCCTTCAGACTTCTGAAACGCAATACTCATCCCCGTTCTGGGATGCCCTTCTCTGTCTTACCTTTCCAAGCTTTTTTATTCTTTAAACATGTGTCCATGTAACACAGTCTCTGGAAACCCTCCTTCTTCAGCTTTTAACACACTGGGCTCTTTTCACCACAGTTGAGTCATTCTGCATTTTCTATTATGAATTCTTGAAAATTATTACTGGTTCCCTTATGAAACTTGTAAGTTTCCTGAGTTTGGGCCCATAGCAATTGCTTTTATCTGTTTTTAATTGAGCAGAAAATGTTTGGGGCAGTGTTTTAGGTCATTGCTTGGCGTGCCTATATCCCAAAAATGACCGAGGAATTTAGTGGCCTGGCTCTGGTCTCCATTCTGGCTTACTCCTAATGTGCACCCTAGGAGCAGCAGGTGATAGCCCAAAGAACTTGGATCCCTGACACCCACATTAGAGTTGGATGGAGTTTCTGGATCCTGCCTTTAGGCTGGTCTAGTTCTAGCTACTGTGGGCATTTGAAGAGTGGACCAGTGAATGGAATATATACATATATATACACATGTGTATGCATAAAATATATATTATATAATATTTAAAATATATGTAAAATATAAATAAATAGTAATAAATAAATAGTAACATATAAAATTCACCAACATGTAACATGATATGTGCTATATGTGTGTATGTATATAACTGATTTGAACAAGCCAGCCAAATAGGTAGGACTCATCAAATATTTTGGTCAAATATCAAAGGCAGAAGTAAACTTAGTGTTACTCCCTTCTTTTCGCTTTTGAATATAGCCCCTAAGACAGTGGTCTTTGTATCACCTATTCTTGTCACCAAATATGTAAGTTATATGTTCAGTTTCTGGAACCCCATCCAGAACTGCTTAACTAGAATTTATTGGGATGGAGCCTGGAAATATACCTTATTTATTAATAAGTTGCTCAGGGCTGCAATACACGGGAAAATTTGAGAATCATTATTCTGGAAAGTTTTCAGAAAGTTTGGTGGAGGCCCTACAAATCTGGCAAAATTCCTGACTGCTCACCCTAACACTGACAAATAGCATTGAAGAGTAGAAATAAATGTGTTCCAGTTCATATAGTTCTTTGGCAGAGAAACAGAAAACACAACTGAAAACTTTGGGATACAAAGTAGTGAAAAGAAAAGGAACTGATTGGGCCCCTGATTTGCTATCATTCAGCAAAAGTTACATATATAATGGAGATCAGAATTCCACGTAAAGCCTGAAACTGACCTTCCTTTGGCTTCTTTCCATCTTTAACACAGGACGGTCTACTCATAAATGTAGGATCCAATGAAGAGCTCAAATTTCCTGGCCAGCTATGGACAAGGCAGTTATTTTTTTTTTTTAATTTAGTGTTTCATATTATTGTTGACATAATATTTTTAATTTACATTGTAGTCAAAGACTTAATGGCCCCACTAAATAACAAGTTTAACAAATAAAAAGTAAAAACACAGTCTTGCAAGAAAATAGGCAAGGGCTACACAAAATAAACCAATGAAAAGGTTTTTCCACTTCACTGATAGAAAATATTTTTAAAACTACACCAGTGTTGCTGGGTGTTTTCCACATACCTCTCGCTTCACTGTGAAACTAGTGCTATTTATCCTCATGTTGCAGAGGAGGATACTTACTTGGGGGATTAAGTAAGCTGCTAGTTAACTAGTTTAAGCAAATAACCAGGTAGAGAAGCAAACTGATTAGTCAACTGCGAATTTCAGCTTCTAGCTCCACCATTTGCTAGTTGTATGATTCTTGAGGAAACTCAATTTCTCAGAATCTCCCCAGCACTGCTGGTGAAACCAGGGAAGGCCCCAACTTTCTCTAGAGGCCAATTAGGCTCATCCAGCCTATGGCGCAAAGCCTGGCCTTTGGTCAGTGCCAGCAGATCTCCTCTCATCGCTCCAGTCCCTTCCAACAATTTCTGCTTCTTTCTTTCTCTTTTTCTTTTTTCCCTTCTCTTTTTCTTTCTTAGTGTTTTTATTGGGAATTCTATCTACTCAGAAGCTGAAAAAGTGTATCCTACTTTAAATGACTTGACGCAAAAGGACATTGTTAACCCTTCCGGTGCTACCTGTGGGTCACATTTGGGAAAAGAGAATTGTCGTCAGAGTTCCCTTCCAAAGAAGCTGTGATGTGAGCAGCCTGGGCAAGGCAGCTCCCATGAGTCATGCTGTGAGCTTCCAGTTGGTGATGTGAAGAGCAGGAAGTAGCCACATGTTCCCTGCCAGTAAACACCATGCATCTCTCCCTTGCTGGGCTTTCCCAGAGCATGGCAATAAGGTAGCTCTGGGGAGAGCCTCCTGCTTCCTTGAGTTGAGCTGACGAGCTCCAAGAGCTAGTGCAACAAGAAATCACTTATCAGAGAAGAAGGAACACCCGTTTAGCAATGATTTCTCTGAAGATGATCAAACCATGGCATACCATTATTTGCAAGAAATATCAGAGGCTATAGTAGCAATTACGGATTGATTCATGGCTGCCTTTTCTCTGAGTATTTACGCTGGAGGGCAATGGGTAGCATTTATCACCAGGCCATGATTCACCCTCTAGACTGGGTGTGACTTCATTTTGTCTTCAGGTTCTGGGCATAAGGCCAAAAGGAAGCCAGACTTGTCACCTACAGTCAGAGCCATGCTCTATCCAGTCTGGGAATGAGTCTTGGACAGTGGACACAAAACAAGTAATAAAGAGGCTTCTCTCTTAGTCAATCACCTGGTCCTTCATGCAGATGAAATTTAACACTTTTTCTTCTTCAATCCACCTTTTTCTTACCTGCTCTAGAATAATGATTTCCTTATTTATACTATCCAATAATATTAAGCTGAAACCCAGGTCTGCCTGGTTCCAAAGCTTATGCTTTTTAATGTTAGCTTTTATTGTAAAACAACTGTATGAAGTTGCAAAGAACTGGACCAGAAAGCCCCATGTACCCTTTTCCCAACCTCATCTAATTTTAACATCTTATACAATACTATAATATCAAGACAAAGAAATTACCCTCTACATAATCTACAGAGCTTATTAGGAAAGAGCTCATGGTTATTCACGCACTTGCACATGTGCGTATGGTTTTTATAGCACTACACAATTTTATCATATCGTCATAATTTGAAATACAAAATCAGATGACAGGAACAAACAGCTTCTCCTTCTTCCTTCAACAAAACAGTCTGCACCAGGAACTGCAATAAAATAATGATATACATGACCAGCCTTCATTTGTTATTGCAGTTAAAAAAGAAGAAAGCAAAAGGTTCATTACACAGTCCAGCTCCTGAGAGCAACAGTCTGTACCACATGTCTTGATGGGCACAGCTTCCAGAACTGTCGATGGGGACATAACAGGGAACATGATTTACTGATGTATTGATAATTAGGAACACAGTCTTCCCTCCTGTCAGAGATTTCTTTCAGTAATAGAAAGGTAATTTTTTACCTTGATTCCAAATTTAGTCTGATTGTCATCCTTATCCAGAGAGTTCAAATCTGCCTCTGTACCAAGTTCCTCAGATGTCCTTTGGGGAGGAGCTGGAGGGACAAAGACAATTCACCATTAGTTTGGTTCTTTGACCTCAGTTTTAACTCAGAAGAGCACTCTGCCGGACAAATATCTGGGCTGTGTTGATGCAGCTTACTAAAAAAGATTAATCACAGTAGCACAATGATTTCCCAGAGAGCAGATGAACTGAGAGGTGAAGGAGAAACATAGAAACCAGTCTTTGGGCCTGGCGCGATAGTAGTTAAAGTCCTCGCCTTGCATGCCCAGGATCCCATATGGGAGCTGGTTCTAATTCCGATGGCCCTGCTTCCCATCCAGCTCCCTGCTCGTGGCCTGGGAAAGCAATTAAGGACGGCCCAAAGATTTGGGACTCTGCACCCGTGTTAGAGACCCAGAAGAAGCTCCTGGCTGCGGATTGGCTCAGCTCTAGCTGTTGCAGCGACTTTAGTAAACCATCAGATGGAAGGTCTTCTTCTCTGTCTCGTCTCCTCTCTGTATATCTGACTTTCCAATAAAAACAAATAAATCTTTAAAAAAGAAAGAAACCGGTCTTTGACACTCAATGCCACAGGAAATACAAAATCACAACAAACAGGCTACTATAGCATGGTAAAAATGACAGAATTTGCTTTGTTCCTGGCTTTAAAGCCCATTTTAAAAGTCATTGCCTTCACGCAGCATCCCCTATTACAAACCTCAGTTTCTCTCTCTTATCCGTTGCCACATGAGCATGCATTATTTATCCTGTATGACACACCATTTGATTTTGTTCTTGGATTAGAGAACTAGATTAAATTCTAGGTACTTCATTTTATTAAATGCATTTTTTTCATCAAAAATTAGCTTGTATTTATTGTGGAAAGCTTGAAAAATTCTAAAATTCTTGCCATTTAAGCACAATCACTTACAGTCTTCCTTAAAATATTTGCTTTCTTTCTCTGCACACAGCCTATACCACATTGTTATTCTTTAAAAGGATGTCTATGCCTGCTCTAGGCAGAAGGAGTTGTTCTATTCTGATTACGTAGTAATGACTCCAGGACTGATGGGGCCATTTCCAGGAGTGTATCAGACGACCTCCAATCAATTGACCGAGTCAAGGTAATGAGCTGCTTTGCTCTTGCTCTGTTCTCTCAGTCACTCCACCTCCATTTTCTCCTTTGCACAGGATTCTTAGACACCTGGGGGATATCTTTACTTCAGGCTTCATGGTTGTTGGTTAGTAAAATTGGGACTTGGAGAGAAGTAGCCCAGCATAGACCTGGAAGCTTCCTAACATGTTTTATCAGCTTTATTCAGTGTTTGTGCTGACAGCTACGAAGATCATCACAAGGGATTCTTTGAATTTTTTTTAAAGATTTGTTTTTTACTTTTATTGGAAAGTTAGATATACAGAGAGGAGGAGAGGCAGAAAGGAAGATCTTCTGTCCACTGGTTCACTTCCCAAACAACTGCAAAGGCTAGAGCTACACTAATCCAAAGCCAGCAACCAGTAGCCTCTTTTGGGTCTCCTATCCAGGTACAGGGTGCCAAGGATTGTGAGCCATCCCTGACTGTTTTTCCAGGCCACAAGCAGGGAGCTAGATGGGAGGTGGGCCACTGGCATTAGAACTGGTGCCCATATGGGATCCTGGCTTGGGCAAGGCAAGGACTTTAGCTGCAAAGCTATCGCACTGGGCCCAATTGTTTGAATTCTTATTCATCATCATCAACATCATCATCATCCAGTGTCCTTGGAAAACTCACAGGAAACATAAGACTAAGTAAAGGCATGTTTTGTGTATTTCTAGGAGCTAAAACCAAAATGCCATCCTCCTAACACCACCAATATATCACTCTGATTATTATCTGGGTTTGAGGTTGACCATCCAGGCTCCAGAGGCTCGCTTACCCGCCCTTCAATTCTGTGAGCCAAGCAAAAGCAATTGGGCTTCCGATGGGATTTCCATAAATGTTGAAATCTGCAGTAAAACACACTGTCACCCTGCGTTATGTGACCCCTGAAGCTACATTACAATCACAGTCAATTTTTCAGGCTCCTTATTTTCCACAAGAGCTCTGCAAAATGACTGACTTGCAGGCATAGTAATTTAATGGTAGGAATGCATGTGCTTAATTAGTGACACTCATGATTGAGAAGCCCTTGCCCTTGGCCGTTACAGAGAAGTAATTAAAGGCAGGCAGCAGAAGCCTTTCAAGCTTTGCTCCTCTGCAAAGGAGACACACATGTTTAATATCTGTGTCCATTTATATGCTGGGGACTCCCAGAAAGCCTGCAGCATAGGGTTGTTATGAAGCTTTAGTGAATTCATATGCTCAAATTAGGCAGATCATGGTAACTGCTCAACATGTTACAGCTACGAGTATGGTCACATGATGTTAAGAGTGTTTTTACATTCCATATGGACTTCAGAAACATTAAATGTTGTATTTTAGGCACTTGCTCACAAGACTCTGAGATCCTAATTTTCACGTCTAAGCTCTTCCACTCAGCTTCCTCACACTGTGAAATGTGATTGCTTATCTTGGCAAAGACTCAGCCACTAAGGAATCAGACAACTGTGTTTCAAACCTGTTGGTTACTGGAAAAACAAGAGTGTAAGTTCCATAAAATGAGCTACTTGACCGACCCAGATTAAAGACAGCCTGTTCAGACACGATGAGGATCTGTTTACTGGGGGAAGGGGAATTATCTATTATGAAATCTTGTGTTTGGAAAGCTAAGAATCAATCTCTGTTATTCTTGCTTTATTTACTTGTAACAACCATATGTACTTAGAATCAATAAAAGAGACCAAGTCTGGCCTGGTGTGGTAGCCTAGCAGCTGAAGTCCTCGCCTTGCATGTGCCAAGATCCCATATGAGGGCCGGTTCATGTCCCAGCTGCTCCACTTCCTTCTTATCTCTTAGTTTCATTTAAAAATATAATTATAGGGACCAGAATCAAGGTGCAGTTGGTGAAGTTGTCTTGTATAACACCAGCATTCCAAATGAGCACTGGTTTGAGTCCCAGCTGCTCCACTTTTTTTTTTAAACGATATATTTATTTTTATTTGAAAGGCAGATTTACAGAGAGGAGGAGAGACAGAATGGTTTTTCATTCACTGATTGCCTCCCTAAATGGCTGCAACAGTCAGAGCTGAACTGATCCAAATCCAGAAGCCAGGAGCCTCCTTTGGGTCTCCCATGTGGATGCACCGGCCCAAGAACTTCAGGCTATGTTGCCTTCCCAAACCATAAGAAGGGAGCTGGACGGTAAGTAGAGCAGCTGGGACATGAGCCAGTGCCCATGGGATGTAAGCACTTGCAGGTGGAGGGTTAGCCTGTACCAGCCACAGTTTCTCCACTTCTGATCCAGCTTCCTGCTAATGAACATTCTTAGTAGGCAGCACATTGCAGCTCAATTACTTCAGTTCCTACCCCCTCTCCACCTTTTATGAAAATAAATGAACAAAAATTATGACAAAAACATTTAAAAATATTCTGTTGCCTCTCCTCCTCCTCTCCCACTACCTTCCCCCTGCCAAAAAAAAAAAAAAGAATGGGAAATCAGTGTTGTGGTGAGTCAGTTTAGCTGCCACTTGCAATCAATGCTAGCACCCCATATTGGAGCACTAGTTTGAGTTCCGGCTGTTTCACTTGCAATCCACTTCCGTGCTAATGTGCCTGGAAAAGTACCAGAAGATGGCTCAGGTACTTGGGCACTTGTCACCCATATAGAGACCTGTATAAGCGTTTCAAGCTGCAGGCTTTAGCCTGGACCAACTCTGGCCATTGTGGATGGAAGATCTCTCTCTCTCTCTCTCTCATCTCTGATATGGGATACAGTACTTAACCACTGTGTCAAAAAGTGAGAAAAAAAGTGAAATCAATTTTAATAGTGTTTTTAAGATTTATTTTTTGAAAGTTGTCTTAGCATGTGAAAATAAATCATTGCATGCTAACAGTGGAGTTGCTGGGGGAAAACGTTAGAGCATGTAAACATCTCAGTATATGTGACAAAAAGAGAATACCTGAAGAATTCAACCATCATTCATGATAAAACAGAAACAAAAACCAAAACACCTCTGAGTACACTAGGAATAGAAGCAAATCTCCTCAAGATGCTAAAAAACATCTGTGAAAAACATACCACAAACATCATACTTAAAGGTGATATGTGAACTCTTTCCCATACTGTTGACAAGGAATAGGGATACCTACTCTCACCAGCCCCATTTGACATTGTACTGTAAGTCCCAGCCATTATAATAAGACAGAATAAAAAAAGTCATGAAGATTGAAATACCATGACTGCTGCTCTACAGAGAAATAATATTCTTACTATTAGTTAGGCACCTGCTATAATTTAAGTGCTTGCAAGTCTTCAGTGTCTGCACCGTGGTATATCTGTAGTTTGTTTTCAAGAATAACTGCCAAAAATAACCACCATTTTATGGTCTCTACCCTCAGAGGTACTCAGGAAGACCCCAGAGATTACTTCTTCCAAATAACCTACCCAGGGCAGAGGGCTGGCTGGTTTTTGGTGACACCCATTTTGGGGAGGACTCAGGATGGGGGGCCACAGGTTGCACTGGGCGAGTCTGTTTGGCAGCCAGTTTCATCAGACTCACTTGCCTCTTGTGAAAGATTTCCTGCACGTCACCCAGCTTCTGCAGGACTTTCTGGGCTTTGTCCTGCAGGGGAAAAAGCAGATCATGATGAACAGGTGTCCTAAGCTTGAGAAGATAATGTGTTCCCTTTTGCCCATCTTCCCCTCCTCCTCCACTCCTGCCTGCCTCAGGTGACCCTCCCCTGGGCTTCTCCTCAAGCAAGTCACTGCCTATCTCGTCATGTGCCACAGTTGTGCTGTGACTCTGTGTCTCCCACGTGAGACCTTTGAAAGCCATGACTATACCCTCTGCACTACAATATCTTCAGTTCCTGGAATGCTGCCTGCCACAGGGCAGTGCTCAGTCAATATTTGTCAAGTGAGTGAATGGTCACTAAGCCATGTACATTCATGGCAAGAAAAGATGCCACAGACCACCATGGAGGGGCATTAGGCTCACATACAGAACAGGAGGATTTCAAAATCAAAAGGATTTCCTGAATGAGGACCCTGATAGAGAAAAGAGTTTGAATGTTTTCCAGGAAAGAGGTGCCTGAAGGCTGAGGTAATATCTAAAATCTGGGGACATGGAGCTATGAAACACCTGCAATGGCAAGGACACACATCTGAATTTTAATCTGTGTGGTCCCTTCTCTCTATGTAAGCAGGAAAGCAAATGCATGGGAAATGCCAGGGGAGAAACAGGGCTCAGAGATGTTGCCTGAGCTGACTGCATGCACTGTGAACAAGGTACAGGAAACAGAGAACAAGACATGAAATCTTTGAGTTTCAGCCACAAATGCTACTTTTGGACTTGCTTCCAGCCGGATATCACTATGGGGGTCTGGTGGGTCTGTGGAAGTGGGGCAGCCCTTTCTTTGTCACAGCAACTCTTGACATTTCTCTCCTGGGTGAATCTAACCACCACAGGATGGATCCAGAATCACAAGCGCTGACCCCCTGAGAGTCAGTGCTCCTTGAAGGATGACACATTCTCAAAAAATGCAGGCTCAGTGCACACACAGGGAATCTGGCACAGTTTGCAACCAGAAAAGCAAACTTGCCTTTCATGGGGTAGGCCACCTTCTGAGGGCAAGCACAGAGAGCCTGAAGGCAGCACTTGCAGCTCCTGGGTTTGTCTGGCACAGGAATGTCAGCTGTGGGTCAGCCCCTCCCTTACGGCCCAAGGCCCTCCAGAGGGTGACCTCCCTAGGGCTGCTCTCCCTCGGCAGTATCTCAGAGCCCAGACCTGTACTGGCCAAGACAGCAACCACGAGTCACACGTGACAAAGGAGCACCTGAAATGCAGCTGCTCTGGACAGAAATGTGTGGCAAATGTGAAATCCACACTGGATTCTGAGGACTCATGAAAAGAAAATGCTAAAATAATTGATTCACAGCTGATGACGCATAAAATAATATTTTGGAATAGGTTCAATAAAACTTCAAATTGGGGGCTAGCCAGCACTGTGGATCAGAGAGGATTATACCAATGCCTGCGATCCCAGCATTACCTGTCATGGTGCCAAACCCAGTTCCTGCTGCTCTGCTTCCAATCCAGCTCCCTGTTAATGTGCCTTTAGCCTGACCCCTCCCTGACTGTTGCGGCCATTTGAGGAGTGAACTAGCAAATCAAAGATCTCTCTCTCTCTCTGTGACTTTATCTTTCAAAAAATAAATCTTAAAAACACTATTAAAATTGATAATTTTTTCCCTCACTTTTCAAAATGTGACCACTGGAAAATTTTAAAATATATATGTGACATATTTCTAGCAGGCAGTGATGGTCTAGATCAAACCTTTTCTTTAACAGCCCAAGTGGTAAACCTTTGGAACTTTACAGATCACCAGGTCTCTGTTACAATGGCAAAAATCTGCTATTACAGCATAAACATAGCCACAGACATTCCATATGACAAGAGTGGTGGCATTCCAGTAAAACTTCCATTACAAAAGCAGATGACAGCCATTCTGGCAGACAAGCTGCAGTTTGCTGGCCTCTACTCTAGACTCAAGTCTCTGCTTAAAATCTCTCTTCTGAGAAGGTACTCTGTCACCCACGGAAGCTTAACTGTGCACTGCACTGAGATTATGATAACAGTAACACAGCTAACAGGCCAGCTCCCAAAGAAAACCAAAATTCCCTTCTGTCAGCATGAGGGCAATGTCAGTTTCTACTCTTGGAGTGATGGTTAAGATTTGATCTCTGCAAATAACACCTTGCCCTCCCGGCCCCAGGAAGAACTTCATGAAACTGAGGCAAGAGTGCTAACTGCTTCAAAGATGGAGAAACCTGACTGAATGATCAGCAAATTGATGAAGGAACGAGGAAAGCCATGATGTGCGATCACTGGCTCAAAATTTAGCCTGCATGGAACTTGTGTCACCTTTGCTCACACTTCTTCTCCTGGGAGTAGCAGAGCAGTCAGAAGCTGCCCTAAGCTCAGATAAGGAGAAAGCTCCTGTGAGATTTATAACCATGCTCTCCTCTCTCTCTCTTCATATTTGCATATTTATTTGAAAGGCAGAAAAGAGAGAAATGGCTCTCCCACCTGCTGGTTCACCCCCAAAATACCCACAACAGCCAGAGCTAAGGCAGGCCAAAGCCAGGAGCCTGGAACCCCATCTAAGTCTTCCATATGAGTGACAAGAACCCAAGTATTAGAGCTATCATTCGCTGCCTCCCAGGGCACGCATTAGCAGGGCACCTGACTAGAAGCACTGGGACTTGACCCCAGACACTATAGTATGGAATGTGGACACTCCACGAAGCAGCTTCTTTCTGCGCCACAATGCCTGCCCCCTTCTTCTCATGTTGAAGTCCATGCCACATATCACAATCAAAGCTATCTTATTCAAAAGCATACCTAATCCTAGAACTTCCCTGTTCTAAAACCCCTTCAAGGGGCTCCCCACTGTGCGGGAACTGGCTTCCTTTGGGTCTCCCCTCCTGGCAGTACCCACCTATCCTACAACTGGAACAGTTCCACAAACACTCATTGTCCCCTTCTTCTGCTGAGGTTCCCTCCTTCCACAGGGTTTCCCTGAAAAGCTACAGAATCTTCCAGGCTTACTTAGGTACTTTCTGTTGCATGAACTGTCCTGGTTTCCTAGGCGGAGCTGATTGCTGCCTCCTCTTTATGCCCCATGGTCCCTTCCATCCCGTCTGCTCTCAGAACCAAGAAGCATGGCTTAGAAAGTGTTTGTTTCCCACTGAACTACCAGTACATGATGGCAAGTATGGTGACTTCATCACTGTATTCTCTGAACAGAACCTAGTATACCTGCTGAGTATCTGAAAAAACGGAATCTTGTTATTTACCTACCAAAATTGTTCCATTCTCTGGAGGTAGTGAACATGAACAATGGAAAACAATAAAGACAGCACACCAGGAGTAGCACAGTGGCTAAGTACTACAAGAAAGCTCTGTAAGAGCTCAGATCATGTGACTGGCACACGGCTTAACTGGGTAATCCTCTACCTGCAAGTACCAACATCCCAATTTGGAGTCGGTTCCCTCCACTTTCCGCAGCTGCTCCACTTTCCATCCAACTCCTTGCTTATCACCTGGGAAACTAACAAAGGAAGATCCATGGGCTTAGGTTCAGATCTGCCCATTGCAGCCATTTGGGGAGTGAAACAGTGGATGGAAGATCTTTCTCTCTGCCTCTCTTCTCTGTAAATCTGTCTTTCCAATAGGAATTTTTTAAAAAAGAGCTCAGACCATGATGAGGTAACTGCTCTAAGAATGACATTTTATTATTGATGTGGTTTTCATATGTACCACATCTTTAGAAATGGAGCAGCCAGGATAGAGGAGCCTGGGGAACTTCTCTGTCAGGACACAGTCCCTGCAGGTGAGCACAAAAACCAAGAAACGGAGCAGCCCAGACAAGGTCAGGTAATGGTACCCACCGGCATACATTTGGCACAGGTTGGGAGCAAAACAGACTAAGCCAGCTCATATCACCCACTGGCAAATCCGAGCACCAGATGAAGTGTGGGTCAGGCTGAGCTGGATCACAACACAAGCCATTTCACATGAGGGCTGGGATTGGAGGCTGGCTGGGTTGGGCTAGGCTGTAGCCTCTACCAGTGTGAGCTGGAACTAGGGGTAGGCTGGGCCAGGCCAGGCTACAGCCCCCACCAACAAATGCCAAGGTGATACGGGCCATGCCATACTGGGTCGTAGCCCCTAACCAGCACATGTGAGACCTGGAGGGGAGGGGGCAAACCCAGTAGCGGGGCTACATTGGGCTCCCCTGCTGAACCACTACTCCTACTAGATAGCATGAGAGTTGGAACAGGGGCAAACCAGGCCAGGCAGGGCTACAACACCTCATGTGAGCTGCATCAGGGAAAGCCAGGCTAGGTTGACTGTTCCTACTGGTGCATGCATAGGCCAGAGCGGATATGGACTGGTAGGGATTTTGCCACAGCATCAGCTAGCAGATGCTAGCATGGGAGCAAATTCTGTCACATTAAACTGCAGAACCAACTGAACAGTGCAAGATCCAGGATTAGGAGTGACCTCCCTCTTGGGTTGCCAATCCCACTGGAGATCATGAGAAATAGGACTAGGGCAGGCATGGCTAGACAGAGAGTGACTCCTGCCAGCATGTGTGTGGGCTGAATAGTGGGGCTGGCTGGGTTGAACTAGGTTTCAATGCCCATTGGCATGTATGAGAGCTGAATGGGATGTGGGACAGACTGGACCACTCTGCTGTATATGCTGGCAAGTATGGGAACCAGGACGGGCGGGGGGAGGCAGGTCTGGTGAGGGGTATTGCAGGTCGTTCCAACTAAGCTATAGCTCCCACTGGTTTGTGTGAGGGTTGAGTGTGTGCTGGGCAGATCGGGTTGGGCTACAATACCCATTGGTTCATGCAGAAGACAGGGCTGGAAACAGAACTGACCCAGCAATTGCAATCAGCAGCATATGCATAAGCTGATTGGGGTAATGGACTGTGCCTGTACTAGAAAGCACACACAAGAATCAGGACTAGGATCACCTCAGATGAAGTTTCTTTGGGGATTACCCAACTGAACTGCTGCACCCATGAAGAGAAGTGCAGGTCTCATGG